TCTCAAAAAGAACTTAATAAAAAGCAGGAACAAGATTGTAAACAAAGAGATACTTTTCTTTGAAACAAAACAACTTTCTTTTGATTAATAATTTCCCTGGCTTGAATAATACAATGTTTGAGCTTTATATAAGGCTCGAAAATAATGTAAACAAACAGTCATAAACTATAAAAGGGGAAACTAGAATCAAACTGAATGATGAAAAGGTCTTCTACTAGCCGTTAGGCTTCAATGGGAGGATCCTTGTCTTTGACGCTGAATGGGGGAAGTCTTGATGATCTTTGACACGAAATGAATGTCCTGAATCTTCTGATGATGATGAAGGGTCGAGATTGAGTGGCTGATGTAGTCGTTGGTCCTTCTTTCCTTGCTTTCTTCTTGAACCAATAATGTTGGTTCCATCTTTGGTAAGTAGCTCTTCTTTGATACCTTCTTGGTTTTGGCTCGAGTTGCTCCGGTTTTTGGCATGGTTTAGTGGTCTTGAATGTCTTGAAATGTCTCTTGGTGGTCGAATGTAGTGGTGGGGCGAATATAATGTCATACACTCCTTCCTTTCCTTAGTTAGCTCCAATGTTGCTCTCTTTGAAGGTTTAGAGCGATTTGATGGTTCTCCTTGGTTAAGTGGTGGCTGGAATTGATTTAGAAGTGGTTTATGGACCTCCTTAGCTTCAATAGATGATATAAGTCGGTCGCATAATATATTGGTGGAATATATATGCAAACTTTCCATAGATGGCTCCTTGGTTAACTTCAGCGGTTAGGCTCCTTTATCTTCTGATTTAATTCGAACCGGTTGAGGTTTGGCTCGATTAAATGGCTCCTTATGATGTCTAGAATGACGGCGTATAGTGGTTTGATCCTGAACAGCTCCAAGAACAGCTACAAGCTCTCCTTTCTCCACGGGTACAAGCTGTTCTGCACCATCCTTAGCTCCATGGCTCCACTTCTCGGTTGTTCTAAGTGAATTGGACTTGAATCTTACATCATCCTCTCCCTCTTGTAGAGGTTTTGTCCTCAAAACTGTAGAACCTGCATCAAACAACCCTAAGTTAGTCTTTGGCAAATGTTTTAAGTTTAAGAACTTACCTTGGGAATTGGCTTGTAGATGCTCCATTAGATGAATGAATGGAATGTCTTCGGCCTCCTTAAGCTCCAGTGTTGATTTAAAATCAACTAAGGGTGGTTTCTCCTTAGTGAACATCAAGTTTTCACCATTGTTGCTCACGCCAATCTCCTTAGTTTTCTCAGCTTTGAACTCTTGCTCTTTAAATCCTGCTTAACAATTCTTTGACAAAGACAAGTGCATCATATCTGTGGGATTTAAGTCAACAAATTCTTGAATAGCAAAATAACTACTCTTCCCTTTAGCTCTGTTGTGTAAAACTCTAACTTCTTTTTGTGGTAAAAGAGCAAGAATAAACTTACAATGATTGAAAGAGAATGAATACTCATTGGTCCGCCCATTATGTGCAACATCTCTATCATATTGTCATGGTCTCCCAAGCAGTACATGCCCAGCTTGCATTGGCACCACATCACATAAAATCTGGTCTTTGTACTGGCCAATGGATAGAGGAACTTCTACTTGTTTGTTCACCTTTAACTCTTCATTGTCATTAAGCCATTTAAGCTTGTATGGCCTTGGGTGTGGTTTAGTTTTAAGACCTAGCTTCTCTACTAAAAAAACACTAGCAATAATAGCACAAAACCACTGTCAATTATTAAATGACATACCTTGTTCTGAATACTGCATCTGGAGTGAAAGAGATTGTCTCTTTGTTCTAGATCCTCCAAAACTGGTTGAGAGTTTAAAGCCCTTTGTATGACCAGTAACTCTCCTTCTTCAGCGTAAATGACATGCTCTTCCTCTGAGTTTTCAGCCATCTCCTCATCTTGAGAATCATAACCACCATCTGGTCTGAGAATCATTGTCCTCTTGTTTGGACATTCTCTTGACACATGACCCCTGCCTTGATATTTAAAACAAATAATGTCATGATGTCTATTTGAATTATTAGACTTACCTTACTCTTGGGCATTAGACTTGAACTGTGAGTCTATTGCAATGCCCTTTCCCTTGTCTACAAATGGCGTGGGGGTTGGCTGCTGCTGCTGCTGCTGCTGCTGAGTTTGTTGAGCTTGTTGTTGATTCCAAGTAGTGGTGTTGCTAGAGCGATTTCTGGTAGTAGCCTTTTTCTTTATTTGCTTCTCTCTTTGAACAGCTAAGTATAGAAGTTCAGGCAAGGAATGGTAAGGCTGCATCTCCACCTTTCTCTGAATTCTTTCTTGGAGGCCATCCATGAATTGAGACATCAATGACTCCTCTGTTTGTTCTAGAGCTAATTGACTTCTTAGGAGGTCAAACTCTTCATAGTACTCCTCCACACTCTTAGAACCCTGAAAAAGAGACCTAAACCTTTTTAGTAAATCTCTATGGAAATGAGAAGGTACATACCTTCTGTTTAGCTCAAATTTCATGTCACTCCATCTGGTGATTTGGGGATATCTGAGCCTTCTCTTTTCAGCAACTTCTCTGTCCCACCAAGATAGTGCATGATCAGTGAGGCTGGCGGTTGCTAAGGCAATTTTCTTGGGTTCAGTATAGGCATAATACTCGAACAGATGCTCCATCCGCCTCTCCCATTCTAGGTAGGCTGCAGGGTCAAGCTTGCCATCAAAAGTTGGTGCAAGAAGCTTCACTTTCTGGTGGTAACTGTCTTTCCTCATTGTAGGGGCGGTTTCTGTCATTGTTCCTTCTTGTTCAGAATCTCTTGAGCTTGTTGTGCTAAGTTTGGTGCTGGCGCTGGTGGTGGCACATCAGGAGGTTCTCCCACTCTGTTGGCATCAGGAAACACGCCATTGAAATTTCTTCTTGGCAAGAGACGTGCTTGAGGGGCTTGTCTTTCTCCTTCTAGGCGCTCAAAGCGGGTATTGCTTTCATTCCTGTAGGTGTTGAAATTCTCATTTAGATTGGCAATAGCAGCCAAGATTGCTTGCATAGGATCAGATGCTGGTGTGTTATCTCCCATGGTACCTTGCAAAAATCAAGTGAAACAAATCAGAGATGTGTTTAAATGACAGCAAAATACAAGAACACGCAATTAATCAGATTTTGACCAGTTGAGGAAAAAGTATTGTAAAAATTATCAAATGGATCGAAAATTCAAAAAAAATACTTTTTGTGGTTTTTAAGAGTTTAATTTAACATAAACAAGAAACAAAATATATTTTTGAGTTTTTCTGGATTTTATAAAAATCGAACAAAATGAAGAACACAGAATTAAGCGGTTTTGACCAATTGAATTGAAAAATCAAAACAAATTATCAAACGATCCGAATAATTTTGGGAAATCATGTTTTTGTGTTTTTAAGAGATTAAATAAACCGAAACAAAAAGCAAAAACAGTTTTTATGGAGTTTTGGATTTTATAAAATTCGGGAAATGAAGAACAAAAACAGGAAAATTTCTTTTGGGTTTTTCTAAGTTTAATTAAAAACAATATGAAACGAAATGAAACAAAAAACAGAAATAAAGGTGAGAATACACCTGTGATAGGAGCTTTTAGCTCTGATACCAATGATACAAGCCTCAAATACTTCAAGGGATGTGCCTTAGAATCGATTGCTTTAAGCTAGATAGGATGGAGGAAAGACTGAATGATTTTGTAGTCTAGTTGGTGCTTGATGACCTCAAACGCCAAAGGTTAGATTCTTCTCAGCTCAAGGGATAATCCTCACAAGAGCTTAGGAGATTCTACACTTCTCACAAGTTCTTTGAATCCCTCAAAAAGAACTTAATAAAAAGCAGGAACAAGATTGTAAACAAAGAAATACTTTTCTTTGAAACAAAACAACTTTCTTTTGATTAATAATTTCCTGGCTTGAATAATACAATGCTTGAGCTTTATATAAAGCTCGAAAATAATGTAAACAAACGGTCATAAACTATAAAAGGGGAAACTAGAATCAAACTAAATGATGAAAAGGTCTTCTACTAGCTGTTAGACTTCAATGTGAGGATCCTTGTCTTTGGCGCTGAATGGGGGAAGTCTTGATGATATTTGGCACAAAATGAATGTCCTGAATCTTCTGATGATGATGAAGGGTCGAGATTGAGTGGTTAGTTCCAATGTTGCTCTCTTTGAAGGTTTAGAGTGATTTGATGGTTCTCCTTAGTTAAGTGGCGGCTGGAATTGATTTAGAAGTGGTTTATGGACCTCCTTAGCTTCAGTAGATGATATAAGTTGGTCGCATAATATATTGGTGGAATATATATGCAAACTTTCCATAGATGGCTCCTTGATTAACTTCAGCGGTTTGGCTCCTTCATTTTCTGATTTAATTCGAACCGGTTGGGGCTTGGCTCGATCAAATGGCTCCTTGTGATGTCTAGAGCGACGGCGTATGGTGGTTTGATCCTGAACAGCTCCAAAAACAGCTACAAGCTCTCTTTTCTTCACAGGTACAAGCTGTTCTGCACTATCCTTAGCTCCATGGCTCTACTTCTCGGTTGTTCTAAGTGAATTGGACTTGAATTTACATCAAGTTCTAGTCAAAGATCAATTGATGTGTTATTATATTTTGGATTGATTGATCAGGTTATGATTATTATCATAATTATGCTTTTTGGTTCACGGAGCACGTATAATATAAACTGATTGGTTTAGTCGTAACGCTCCGAAATATAATGTTTTATATTGTGAGTTTGTATAAGAAAATATACGTCCCTTTTCTGTTAGAGTCAAATATTTCAATTATATACCATATTAATATGATCATTATTAATCATAATTATGGAAATGAGAAAGAACTATGAAGCTCACTCTAATTTAGTCTAACTTTTTCAGTCAACTTAAACCGTTACCAAATAGATTGCCAAAAATCTCTCAATCATTTACTATATCCTGCATTATACCCAAGTATTTATATACACCTTAGGTTTTTTGTAACTTCAAACCCAAAGTTCACAAGAAAAGAAAAAATTATAGTGAGATTTAGCCATGGCCTCGACATGCATAGGTGATTGTCTAAACATCAAAAGTGACGTGGATTGCGTTCGGCCGGGAACGACTTACGCCACCCTTTACAAGTGGCCGGAGGCCGAGGTAGAGTTCGTACGGTCAATCAGCCGCGGCGGTAGCCAGAGCCGACGATCCTCGGTGGCGGTGGATAGCATATACTGTAGGCAAATGTATCTTAGGAGCTATACTTTTTCAGTGAAAGAAGATAATAAAGATGCAAGAGAAGACCAAGATGGTAATGACGTAGGTGACACAAGAAACGAACGTAAATGTTCTAAAGGAAGAGAAGATCAAGATGGTAATGAAGCTGGTGACAGAAGAAACGAACGGAGTTGTTCTGGAGGAAGAGAAAGGAAGAGGGCGGTGAAGAACAGTAGGAGGACGAGTAAAACGATGCCGCATAGGGCGTTTGTGGAAAGACTCATATGGAAATGTTTCTCTTGTGTTTTCTCAACTAAGGTTAATGTTGAATAAGTTAATAGATAGAGACAAGAATAATTATTAAGGTTTTGATTTTTTTTTTTCATTGGTCGGTTTCAGTGTAAACGAAAATTTATATTCTTATTCTTTGTAACATAAATTGCTTCATCAATAATGTTTCGGCACACTTATTTAGTTTCTGTTCACAACAATATTCTGTTTCTGCAAACTATTGCACAGTCCACAATAGTATATACGAGTCTAACATATAACGGCAATTTATGTATAATGACTACCTAGCAAGAATTTTGTACTTTTGTAGCTCATATAAGACTTCTTAACCTAGCCATATGCGTTTAACTGAGTTCAAGACTGCGTAATTCCATGTCCATGAATAATAGAATATTGTAACAAGGAAATAGTAAACGCAACGAAACACATAATAATTAATTATGGACACTAGATTGAAATATATTTTATAGTTATTCTTTGGTTTTTAATTGGCTCTTATATGCATAGCCTCAACATGCATAAGTGATTGTGTTCGCCGAGAATGGCTTAGGCCAACCTTTACAAGTGGTCGGTGGCTGCGGCGGACCTCGGTGGTGGACAGTTGCTTAGGCTCTAACAGTTTGGAGCATACTTTCTGCATGTTATTAGGTTTTACCGTAACTATTTCATATTTGACAAAACATAAAGAGGAAGTTGTTACTTTTAAATGGAAAAAAATTTATTGACTTGAGCTTAATTATCTTTGGGCATATTAATTATAAGGTACGTGGAAATAATGGTTTTTGTTTTTTTGGAACATTTAAATAAGTTTTTTTGTGAATAATGACGCTGAGAATTGATTTAACTCAACATAAAATGATTTAGAGACAGAGATGAAGAACTTTAACATATACTACTTATTTTTTCGGCAATTCTAATTTCCACATATACAAATGATACAGTGAAAGTCAGCGAGAGAGATTTTGAGTCAGAAGAGAAAACCGATTTCAGAATGCACGAGGGATAGGAGGAGAGCTTTTAGGGATTATAGAGTTGACAAGTATACATGCGTTAAGTTGAGAAATTAAAGCTTCTCATTTTTCTCTGACTTGGTGTTTTCTATTAAAAATCTATATGTAAAATGAAAAAATAAAGATATATATATATATAAAAGCTAAATCCAGTGTTCACAACGAAACAAGGAAAACAGTTCACACTAGAAAATAGTACCCTCCAAAAAAACTTCAATGGCCTTAAAATGCATAGATGATAGTTTAAACATCAAAAGCGACGCCGTTTGCATCCGGACAATGAAGACTTACGCCAACCTCCGCAAGTGGCCAATGGCAGAGGCGGAGTTTGTTCGGTCAATAAGCCACGGCGGTAGCCAGCGTCGTACCACGGTGGCTGACAGCATATCTTGTAGGCAAATGTACCTTAGAAGCTACACTTTCACAAGAAAAGAGAGCGAATGCGAAGACACTAGTGACCAGCGAAAAAGAGGAGGGAAGAAGAAGAAGGCGGCGAAGAAAGGTACGAGGAAAAGCAAAACGTCGTCTTGTAGGGCATTTGTTTTGAGGCTCGTATGTTTGTTCTGTGCTCCTTCTACTAAGGTTGATAATATTAATCCGTGAAGCAAAGTTACCATTAGAGAGATCTATGAGAGTAATAAAATAAAACAAAATTTTAGAAATTTATCATTGATGGGTCTTTATTAAATGGATGGAATGTTGATGTTTGATTGACTCTAGACTTCGTTATACCATTTACTCTTTTTTTTAGCAATGTGATCAGTTCATCCAGTGAAAGTTACTCGCAAGATGATTTTTACTTCCTGTTGCGTTAATTTCTCTAATCTAACTGGACCACTGGAACCGGACCAATACTGTTGGAAGACAAAACCCAAAAATGATCAAGATGTAAGAAACGGTTTCTCAAACCAAACCAAATCAAACAAGAATGTAAAAGAATAAGTTGTAGCTTCTAAGCTTACAATACAATTGAAACAAGAAGAATTTTATAACATCCGTAGAGAAAAGAACAAACAAATTTTCAGATAACTTCAAATGAACATCAATTTGCAAGAAAATACAAACTCAGGAAGAGGAAAAGAGTGAAAAATAAATAAATAAAAAGAGGAAACTTTTCAAGTATTTGTATCATTGCTGATGAAAACTCAGCACAAGAAAAAGCTCGAGCGCTTTTCTCCTCGTTACATGTTTTGCTTCCTTCTGTTTCCGTTAGAAGATCAGAGATCTTTCGAACTTTCTGTCCCCAATCTCTCACATTTATCTTCCTTCCGATTTCACCAGCTGCGAAAACACTTTACTCATGGAAACACCAGAGAGATCATCAATGCTCGACTCCTCGAACTGCCCCGCCGTTCCCGGAACGTTAACACTCGTGTCTCCTCGGCTAAAATTGTTGATCTGTGGAGGCAATTCTCCAATCATATTCGTGCTGTTATCTTCCGGTTCGCCATCGACCACAGCTTCTTGAAGCTGCAGAGCGTATTCAAGATTCCACAACACATCTCCCATAGACGGCCTATCAACTCCATAGTCAGCCAAACATTTCTCCCCTGTCTCCGCAAACTTCCTCAGCGAATCGGGTCTGATGTTTCCTCGAAGCGACTGATCAATGATCTGATCTAACTGCCCTTTCTTCTGCCATTTCATCGCCCATTCCGCAAGATTCACCATCTCTCTCGGAAGCGTCGGGTCTATCACAGGTCTAGCACAGAGAACCTCGAACAGAACAACCCCAAACGAGTACACATCGGATTTATCAGTGAGCTGTTGCCTTCTGAAGTACTCGGGATCAAGATACCCGAAACTTCCTTTCACAGCAGTACTCACATGAGTCTGATCAAGCTCGGGTCCGGTCTTAGAGAGTCCAAAGTCTGCAACTTTCGCCATGAAGTTCTCATCAAGCAATATGTTTGCGGATTTCACGTCTCTGTGAATCACCGGTTTCGAGTCACCGGTGTGAAGGTAATGCAACCCTCTCGCCGCACCAATGCAGATCTCAAGCCGCTGTTTCCATGTCAAGCTAGGAAGACCCGAGCCGTAAAGATGACTCTTTACAGTTCCATTTTCCATGTACTCGTAAATCAGTATCATCTCATTGTTCTCGTCACAGTAACCAATCAGAGAAACCAAATGTCGGTGACGAAACTGAGACAACATCTCGATCTCTGTCCTGAACTCCGCAAGACCTTGCTGAGACTTCGGGTTCCCTCTCTTCACAGCTACTTTCGTGCCGTCGTTAAGCTCTCCTTTGTAGACTTTACCGAAACCTCCCACACCGATGTTACGGCTCTCGTCGAAGTTGTTAGTAGCGTCTTTAACCGCAGCAAAAGGAATACGGTAATTAGCATTGGTGGTTATACTCGTGAGCGTTGTTCCATTAGAGCCTTTGCTTCCAACCGAAGTTCCGTTTATCGAAAACGGCATCCAAGTCTTCGAATGACCGTCTTCGCCAAGTTTCCGCTTCCTACACAAGACAAAGCAACTTCCCAAGAGTACTAACGCGAGCAACGGACCAATAGTCGCGCCTACGATCAACCCGACGTTCTTCTGCTTAGCGGTCGAGCCACCACCGGGAACGAACGTCCCGGCGCTTAGCTGACCCTGAGAGTTGTTCATCTTCATGATCTCCAAACCGTTCACAATAGCGTTCGGATAATCGGTGTGAACAGTCGATGGACCGATGCTAACACGGATCTTGTTACTTCCCTTTGGTGACTGCGTAACGAAGTCCATGTTGTACGCACCAGCAAGAGTGTTATCCACATAAGTGCTGAGATCAACATCCATCACAGCGAGCATTGAGTCTATATAGAGATTGAAATACAGCTGGTTGAGAGATAAGCTCACGATATCGCAGAAATGAAACCGGAAGAAGTACTGAAAGCCCGGGTCGACCTCGAACTCCCACGTTACATTGAAGATGCTCGTCGGGTCACTCCCGGAGTTCATCTCAGTGCATGTACCGTAAACGATTCTTGGTGCGGTTTCTTCTGTTGCATAGCCTGGGACGAAGTTAACAGTTGCAATCTTAGACACAGACCTAGCTAAATTCTTCTCAAGGAGGAAACTTGAGTCAGGCTGCCAAGTTCTCGTTAGATTATCTTGGTTAGCCGCGACGAGAGGACCTCCCATGTTCACTCTGTGAACTGTTTCGAGAGCTTGCGATGACAAGCTCTGCTGAATCGCCCCTGAGCCGCCTCCTATGAGCCTTGGAGGTGGTAAAGCAGTGATCAATGTGTCGGGAACGGAGATAACCTCGATGGCGTTCACAAACGCAAACGAACTACCCGAAGGAGTAAACGTGAGGACGAGATCATCGGTGGTGACATTCAGAGAGTACTCTTTGACAAGTCTCGAGCTTTTCACTGTGAAATCGCTCAAGAGCACATGGGTCTGAGAGGAAACCGCGAATTTGGCTGAGCCCATTTGGAAGTTTTGGTAATTGAATGGGTTGAAATGGAGACGAACCCAATGACGGCCACGAGCGACGGAGAATTTGTAGGAAGAGACTCCGGTGAAGACTCTCGCCGTCTGGTAAATGTCGGAGCCGCTTTGACTCGCGAGGATCTCTTCTTTGGGAGATGTGAGTAACTTCGAGGCGAGCTTATCGGACATGAAGACTCGACCGTTTAAGGACGAATTGGTCGGTGAGCCACAGTTGATTAAGTAATTATCCTGAGGTGTGAATCCATGGCAGATGCAAATCAAGCACGAAATCGTTGAAACCAAGATGAAAGTTCTCAACTTTTCAACACCCATCTTGACCAAACAATAAAAAGCCTGGACATTTGACAAGAAACAATACAGATCGGGAGAAAGAATCAATCAGATAGGTTGGAGCAAGAGGTGAGAGAAATATAGGGTTTCTCATATGAACTACAAAGATCAAGAAAAGTTGATAAATTTGGAAGCTGAAAACAATAAAAATTTACCTTTTAAGATAAGAACTTCAGGAGAAGTAACGGTCCCATGAAAGGCTAAAGTTAAAGATGGATCAGAGCTTAATGAATAGATCAAGAAACCGAAAACTCAGATTTTGAGTTTTTGGGTTTTTTTGTAATAAAATATATCAAAAACTGTACTCGTTAAAGAGACTAGGTTCCAGCGAAGAACAGACTGGTAACAGGAGGTTTGATTCTTTGTGAACTCTGCAAAACATGAACTCAAGAGTTTATTTTTATTTCTTGAGTTTGGGAGAGAAGAAGAAAGATAATCGAATTTTCTCTGGATGTATTTTTTTATTAATGGCTAAAAGGGAAGAGAATTATGGAATTTCAAGAAAATGATTAGAAAACGTAGATGTTCGTCGCAATAAATATGACTATGAAGAAAAGCTGTTTTTTTTGTCATCGAAAAAATTGTTTTAAATATGCAGAAAATAGTTAAATACAGTCCAGATATTTTATATACCCATATATATATATATATTTTAAAGTATTACGAATTTGTGTTTTTTCATTTTTGTTTCAGGTGTCTACTGGTGGTGGTTTGTAGCAAAGTCAACTTTTATTGGGGATTTTTATGTAAATTTTTGAAATGTTATTTGAAATTTTCGACAATATTGATGAAGAAATTCACTAGAATTCATGAAAGCTCTTTTCGGGCTGCGCTCACTTTGGAAATGTAAGTTAAATTCTCGTGGGTCTATCTAATCAGTACTTGTTTATCCTTTACTGATTTCTTGTTCTGCTGGAAGTTTTTTCAAGAAAAATTTGAACACTAAACCTTACTATAATTACGTCTTTAATCCGAATAAATCTTGGTGTTTTACTTTTCTAAAGACTTTATGAGTTCTATCTTCTCCTATGTATCAAACTTTTCCCAAAATATAGAAGATTAGAGCTACTTGTATTTATGGATATCTTTGTGGGCTTGCAAGATTTAAGAGAATGACAACATTTAGTTTAACCACTCCATTATACAACCATATGGAACATGACACATATTATAATTATTAATTGGAAATAATACGATCCCACTAATGCTCCTTGTGACATTATTCTTAAATATACCTAACAAGACACCGCAACTAATATATTAATATTGTTCTAATGGCTGGCAAAATTTGATTGATGTAATAGTGAAGTTTGGGAATGATACAGTATATATTAATACATTGTGTTTAGGAATGATTTATTGGATTAAATAAACAAGATTGGTGGAAGCCCATAGCATAATTGTTAGCCCACGTCTCATAGTCTTCTTCCTCACATCCAAAAGCTGAAAGCTAATTACGGACGGTTTCTATTTCTACTTTAGGTTGGGATTTACTGTTGTCAAATAAAATAAAAATGTTGAGTTTTTCTTTTGTCGGCAGATTAGATCTAGCTTGTAAATAGTAGTAACATTTTCTTTTTAAATGAACTTCAATACATTCTAAATTAGACACTAATTTCTGAGAGCTTTTCGGTGTGACTGTTCATTCAAAGAGATGCAATTACCTCTATAATTAAACATTCAAGAAAATAGTATATTAGATAGAGATGGACCTACAATTGCTTCTTCGAGACTTGGCCGACAAGATAATCCAAAAGGTGGATTTGGTTTTTCAATTTCTACACTTTCTCTACTCAACCGTTCTAGTTTCCCTTTTTAAGTTTTAGGGTTCATTTCTTCACAAAACTCCCGTCCAACCGCGATTCAAAGTCGGACTTTCTTTGGACATCAGCAGAACGTTGTTGTTGTCCTTCACAGAGAAGACGATGATAAGAATTGAGATATTAATTGATTTCAATTTTTCGTAGCGATTATCTAACGGCTGCTGCTACAGGACGAAATCTCAGACTTGCCGAGGCGGATGATAGTCGCCGGTCAGAGAACCTTTGGTCACCGCGTCAATGTGTATCAGAGGGCCGCATTAGTGGACCAAATAAAAGACAACATTGACGAAACCGAGCTCAAATTTATCCAGATTTCACAGCTGGGGTAGTTGTTGGAGATCCATGAAAAATCCGCTTGATCCGGGAGATTTGGCCTCTTTCTGCTGTCGCGGCAGTTGGAAGTTGCCCGAGATAACGAGATCTGGATCCTATTCGCTGGTTCTCCAATTTGATTCTCGCTGAGGGAGTTCAAACTCGTTACAAGACTTCGCTGTGGTAAGTATCCGCAGAAAAAAAAGACGCGGCGAAAGGACACCGACCCGGTGAAAGAACCGTTCTATGGAAAGCTTTTCGGTCAAGAGGAGAATGTCACGGTGGAAAAGTTTGTTTCAATTCTTAGGAGGAGGTCCCCTGGAGACCGCGAGATGAGGCTGAGATATGCATGTCTTGGGCTGGTAGATGGATTCTTGCTCCTGATAACATACTACCCGAAGATTAAAGTCCTTAAAGAGCACGCAAAAATGGCGGAGTATCTTCAAGAGTTCCTCGATTATCCGTGGGGACGAGTATCATTCGACCGCATGATGAACTCCATTAAAGAGAGAGACTTGGCGCAATTGGCGACAGCCAACATCGCTGTTCAAGGGTTGTTCGTCGCCCTGCAATTCGTTGTCTATGAGGCAGTGCCGGCCATCCTGGGAGAAGCTGATTCGGTAGAGGAAGATGACAATTTTGCCGAGAGACCCACCCAACCGCCGCAGCTAAAACTCAGTCATGCTCTGGACCAGTCTTCAAATGTGAGTTTTTTGAATCTCGGTTTTCATATCCACCCCTAACGAAGTTGGCTATTTCTGCAGTAGATTATTATTGTCTAATCTGGGACTGTGTAATCTGTTTAGTTGAGTTAACGAGTTATTAGTTACGCCGCTAACATTTGAACTGCTGAAATAGTTGATGTAGTCATCAATAGAGTCATTAACGGTAATCAGAAATGCACTAGCTTGGTGTTGCACTGATAAGTTCTGCGCGTATTGTACAGATCGATGTTATCTCTATTATTCGCCCGGAGGCTGTAATAAATCCTGAAGAGGAAGATCTCTCGTGGTCCGATGACGAGGACGACCAGCGCGTCGATAACATGGTTCGTCTTATTGGGGAAGGGTTTAAATTCAGACAGGAAATATTCGTCGTAGGAAATCGGCACCCGAAGGGTGGCTGAAAACAAAAAATATATGCGGGAAGAAGGGGAAATCAACAACCAGGCAGCCTGGTGGTCTTCGGAAGAAAACGACCGCTGTGCTGGCCTCTGATTCTGATATTGCTTCAGCAGTCGCTTCGTCCGTTGCCGATGCAGTGAAAGAGTTGGAGGAGAGGATTGTCAGAGCCGTTAACAAGGAGCTAGTTGCCAACAACCAGATCATTATCGAAGCAACGACTAAGTGGTTTAAAGATAACATTATCGTCGAGGACAGGGATGATCAACCCTCCATAGTCATTAGCACCACGTCTGCGTCTCGAAGTTCTCGTGCCCACAGCCGAGAAGGCAAAGTTCCTGAAGCCGACGGCTCAAAGATTGACGACGTGGATACGATCGTAGAAGAGATTGCTGCTTAATATACAGAGGAGGCGTTAGCGGCGGGCCAGGTAAGTTGCAGTGGTATGCACATTTTTTGCTTCTAACAACAAGCTTATTGCTCATAACAACAAAGCTTTTACACAGGTTGGTGCCGAAAGGCTAAGGGAGGGGCGAGGCACTTCGTCAGAACGGGCTACCGATAAGTCTGCACCATCCACCATCCTCGAACTAGTAAGTGAGGAAATCCTCCTACGTGTGACTTCTGATATTAAACAACCCCGAGTTGCTTTACTGCTAACTCAAATATTATTGCCTTGTTAACATTTCAATTGTGTACAACATATTTGTTGATTGCCCATAACGGGATGACAATGTATACGCTAACTATGGCTTTATCTGTATCACTCTGGTAGGCCAAGGCAGCTGACAACGTCGATGTCAAATCTAAAACTTCAGGTAAAACTAATTCAAGTGTCGTAGTTCCCCAAACCGAAGTTCCTCTCAATCAGTTGGAGGGACAAATAGTTGTAGATGGGAATACGCAATCTGTCAGGGCCCTCTTCAATAAGGTTTATACATCACCTTTGTTAGCGTTAGGATATCTAGTTAGCGTCACTCATACATACCAGCGTCACTCATCCAAGCTAGCGTTAGTCGAGAAGATTAGTGTTAGTCGAGAAGATTAGTGTTACTCTTAGCAGTTAGCATTACTCATACAAGTAAGGGTTGCTAAACTGCCATGTTAGCGTTACTTATACAAGTTATCATTACACAAACAACTTATCGTTACTCAAACAAGTTATCGGTATGCAGAGAAGTTAGCGTTAGCGGCATATTATGTTAGACACTTTCGCTGTTTCTTTTCTTGCCAATGACGTCTATTTCTTACGCAGGACCGGAGCGGGGCGGATGCGGGTCTCCAAAGTACTACAGAAGCAGAAGCGGGGGCAGAGACCAGGCATGTAAGGACTCGTTACCGCTGTCTATTACTGATTAGCGTAACTCTTAGTAGTTGGCATTACTCATAAAATTAGGGTTGCTAACCTGCCCTGTTAGCGTTACTTATACAAGTTAGCATTACTCAAACAAGTTATCGGTATGCAGACAAGTTAGCAGTAACGGCATATTATGTTAGAAACTTTCGCTGTTTCTTTTCTTACTAACGACGTCCATTTCTTGCGCAGAACAGGAGCGGGGCGGATGCAGGTCTCCAAATTACTACAAAAGCAGAACAGGGGGCAGAGACCGAGCAAGTAAGGACTCGTTACTGCCGTGTATTACTGATAATGATGAATTTACCGTTAACACTCCTATGGCTAACAACTTTGGTCCTATATGCTTATTTTATTATAGCAGAACACGGTGAGCAAAGCTGTAACTATGACCAAAGTCGGTGTAACACAAAGTCAGCAGGGCGTAGTGGCTACACAAGCTAATCCAAACACAGTTCCTGATGGTATTCGTAAGAGTAAGAGGCCGAGGACTAAATAGTCTAGGCTTGATGACAACAAATATGATTGTGGTAATAGGGTCAAGTCAATCACTGGCCAGCAGACGGCAGATGAAATTGACAATGAGACAAGGATCAAAGAGAGGCTCGACGTTGCCTTGAAATCGCTAACATGGTTCACTTACTTCTGCAAAAATTTCTTTTTTTCTATTTTGTGTGTGACAGACTGTTAATGCTGATGGAGTTGCTCATCTATGTAGCATTACCACGGGGACCTCGTTTGTATCGGCCATGGAGATCAAAGAGCTGTTGGATTTAGCAAAACCTACGCCAGCCAAAGTTGGTGTCTTATAAACCAATATCATGGATGCCCTACACAAACTGAGTCGGCGCATTCTGCGGGCTGACGAGCGTGATGGATTGCCCCTTCGCGTAGATGTTCCAGACTCTAGTTTTGTCTCTCAGTTCACTAGGCTATATCCCAAGTTTTCTAAGTGTGCCGATCCTGGAGGATTTAAGTTTCCCAAACAACTAGTTGCCACTATACTTGGGGAAGGTGATACGGATCG